TCAGTTTTTTTCACTGATCACCTTTATTTTTTTCTTATGTTTAGGTTAGAAAGCTCATCTGGTTAAAACAACATAGAATTGTATTGAATTAATTGTGTTTGCATTGATTTCCCAGGCTTTTTTAATGACCTTGTTACAATCTCTATCTGTGACTTTGAAGTCTGCCTGTGAGGTAGATTGTAACGTTTGCGCTCCTGCCACGTTCATTTGAATTATTCCTATTTGTTAGGTGCTGGAAACAAAGTTTACATTTTCTTTTCCAGCAGAAATGTGTAGCCTGCTTGTGCAAGAAAATTATTAATTTTGCTCTAATACTTTTAAAACAATTAAGCAAAATGCACCCCGTTTCCCCATATATTAGCGCTTACACAGCAAAATCCCACCAATCCTCTTCCAAAAAAACCTCTATTGATCTACTAAAGAAACCAAAAGATAAACACAGCATAAATTTTTCAGAAATACAAATCCAGTGAGAGGGGCTATCTGTAAGAAAGTGTCACTGCATCGAATAGAGTTCTAACTGGTCCACGTTAATAAGAAGCTTCCATTATTTACAAAATTAGAACTGAGTTTAGAGAAGGACAAAGGTTAAAGGACGAGAAGAGAAGGCAGGGCAGGGAGAGAGAGAAGCGTCAGAGGACTGGAAGTAACACCTCTGTGAAAGCCCAGTGGGTCAACTCTGGCCCTGCGCCCTGTGTTCTCTGACCAGCGAGGAATGTGTGGCCTACTTTTCACATCCAAGTCCTTCGTAACATCCGCAGCGTCTGGCCTACATGAAGGCTCTTCAGGCGTCATAGACATTGACCTGCCATTCAAAACTCCTGACTCAGTGTGTCTTTGGAGTCAGCATGTTCCTCAGGCACCATTATGATCAAAGCATGCAAAACGATGCCAGCCAGACTCAACAGATGTTAACGCTGGTGCATTAGCTCCATTGGGGATGCTCTGAGATGGAACTGTTACCGAAGTATGGAGCATGGTGTGCTCAAAAAAAGCATAAGTGCTCCCTAATGGAAGCATGTTATTGGAAATGTCAGATTGCCCTCACATCAATTTGTTCCAGATGAAAGTCATTACTAATTATGGTTGCTGTTTTTGGGTGCATGTATGTACATTAGTGATGGGACTTGGAGAACAGACTTTGTCGCACTGATTGAGTGTTTGGCTTTATGTAATTTGATTATGAGATAAGTACTATAACAAGGCACCAGGTGTTTGTATGATTGGTGTTGCTAATTTATGGGCTCGAATTCATAGAGCCTAGTCTACTGAGGCCAGATGATCATGTAATGGGAATACACATGAACTTAAATCTGCTGTGAACAAGGGAACCTGCTCTAAAACACACCTCCAAATTCTTGTATTCTGTGCTTGTTTAACATCCTGAGTAGCATCAAAAACACAAGCGGAAAAAGGTAGCTAGTGAAACAAGCTAGCTAGCGAAACACTATCGTTAGCTAATGAAACTGTTCTTGCCTTGCAAAGGGTAATGTTTATTTTAACCACTTACAGTGTTTTCTCTGCCAGGGCTGCACATAAGGGAGGGAACAAGGGGAAAGCTTTCAGGGGCCCAGCCTCTAGGGGGAGCCCAAGAGACCAAGCGTTGTGTTCAGAAATATGGCAGTGAAAAAGTATTTTATACGGACAACTGTAGAACTGCAAAGTGCACCTATATGGTATGTGGAGCTGTTAAAATGCACAAAGGATCAAAGAATGTAGATACACAGAGGTGTACTTAATGAAGTGGCTAGTCTGTGTATAGAGGTCTATCTCGGATATCATCCATAACCTGCAGTGAGATGTGTTTTCAGAACTTATCAAAGCGATCTAAATGTCTGCATTGTGAAACTATTTCAAAGTGGAAACTGAACAGTGTGCAGTCTCTGCAATGCTAGTGTTTTGTCTGCATTTGAGCAACCAGTCTTGTATCAAAACACTGTAAAATGCAGCTATTCTGTGTGGCTATTATGCTTTGAGTCTGTTTTTGACACTTGCCATGAGTGGCATACCTCTACAAGAATTCCCAAAATACACTATCACAGTATTTCTCACTTGTTACTGGTGTATAAAAGCATATGAACACTTTACTGATATGTTATGCCAGTTCTGGTATGAAAGCAGTTATTAGCAGTAACAGTGTTTTTGAGACAGAGAGAAAGAGGCAGGCTGCTCCATGCATGTTAGAGCCATGTGAAACCATAGTGTATTTACAACACTATAAAATAGCAAAAAAACAAAATATATAGGATCAGAATGTATAATATTACGCAAATATCAAAAATGGATTTTAAGCCTTTTAAAGTTGTAGCTAAATCATCAGGTCAGTCAATCAAATTGGATATTACATCAAAATTGAACACACTATAAAAATGGTCAAAAATAAAGCTGTCACAGTTCATGCATCTGAAAAATTAAGTGATTTTGCTGTAGCATTTTAGTGAATAGCAGCCTAGGATTATTTTACCCAAAGAGGATTGATACTAACTTAAACTTGACTCATGAAAATCTTATGTTTCTTTGACTTAAAATGGAAGGGGTCCCATTCAGTAGAATTTTCACATCTACATGCTTAATTGGAGTTTTTTAAAAGACTTTTCAGCCATGATAACTTAGTTACATTACATTACAGCCATAGGCCAATGCCCAGACTTGTTGTCCATTGGACAATGTTGACAAGCACGCCATCACCCCCTACTTTGAACCCACAAAGAATTAGTTTGGCTTAGAAATGTAACACTTAATTTGTTCCCACCCTAATAAGACTGCGCTCCTACCCACATTTAGCACAAAATTTCCATTGGTTGTCCTCAGACACTCTCGTGACGAGACAACACCTGGCCCTGTGAGACTACAAAGAGCCTTGAAAAAATGAGATTTTTCAGTCAATTATCACAAACAGTGATACCATCTTTATTCACTTAGGCCTTCACAGCTAATTAGTAGTGCATGTTTACTCCAGCAGCTTTGAATTTAAATATTGATGCTTCACTCACTGAAAAGAAGCCATTGATAATCCAACAAAGTGCATTTACAGAGTTTTCAGAACGTCTCTAATGTGGACTCTCACGGCTGAATGGGAGTGTGGGAACTAATCCAATTCAAATACAGATCAGAGTGTTTTTTTTTGGGGGGGGGGCATTGTTCAACCGCTCTGTAATTGTTCTGGGGGTTTGAGCGGTTGGGCAGTTTTTAATGAAGAGAAGGATGTGATCGATGACTCAGTGTGTTCCTGGCTCTGTAGTAGCACTGCGTTCCCTCATTAAATGAGTGAATAAAATTCAGCGTTCACAATAGGTCAGGGAGGTGAGGGCATTCAAATAAGGCTTATCTGATAGAACTCTGGCCAAACCTGTCTCCTCATCTCTTCTCTAATCAGCACTGTCGCGTCTGTCTGCCAGTGCACTTCGGCTGTGAGGTAACCTGGGTGTGATGTACTGTACCTGCTGATCGTAGCCATTGCTCTCGGAGTTATCGTAGCTAACAGAGTGAGTATTAGACATTACTGATAAAGGTACAGCATAAGGATTAACGATTATGGGCCAGAGATATGAGGACTGAACATTCAAACAGTGTAGAATGTCTTGCATCTTATCTTAGTATAGTAACTAGGTCAAGTGTCAGAATTTATAGCGTGTGGTTGTGTGGTTGGTTAATGAGGACTTTGAAGAAAATGTACATGATGTGAGGCAGAGTTCAGACCTGACAGTATCTTGACCTCAGTTACAGTTCTCAGATGAAAACGTGCAGAAATGTGAACCATTTTGTCTATGGAATTAGTGATAAAGGTAAAGTGGTAGAAGGCCGGACCACCCCTCATAGCCGTAGGTGGACTGACATAAGACTGAGGAACTGGGAGGAGATGGGGTGGTGGTGGGAATTGCAAACCGCTCGTCACGGAAACGGAAGGTGAAGATGTGAATTTATAAGGAGTTAGATTGGAAGAAGGAGAGGTTTCAGGCATGTTCCTGCCCCCCAAACCTCAGTTATAACATAACTCCATTGAGGTATGAATTCTAGGGTGGTCAGTCCATTGTCCTGAGAACATCAGCAGCTTCTTAGTTTGATGTGCAAGAAGAACCTGTTGATATTTCAGATCTGAAGCAAGAGTGGAGCTTGATTTTCTCCTGTCTCTCAAAGATGAAAGTACTGTTTATCTGATGGTAACAGTTTTGGTGGTCTGCCAGATCTTGCATGGTTATTATACTTAATGGCCATATTGACTGGAAATTAAATAAACGATGGGTGGTTTCCAACTCTCACACAGTACTGTAAATGTTTAGAACTGGGCAATTTAGTCTGTGGAAACCCAGTTAAAACTTGCTAATTATTGCTAACTGTTGTAAGTAAGTAAAATGTGTACCTAAGCATCTTCAAACAGTGTAGCATATGCTGCCAGCCTGCTTTCACTAACACTAGTTTGAATCTTTGTATTCATTTGCCTGAGAGACTCTTGACACTGCATTCGATTGATTGTCCATGTGAAGCACACTCTTGGCCCAAACGCTCTGGCCTTGTTCTAGCCCTGAGTAAGGGCTCCTAATTAAGAGTCTCATAATGAATTTACTTTCACTGGCAGCCAGTTTGGGATTGTGCCCCTGGTCAATAAACGTGCCTACTCATCCTTCGTGCCAAGGCAGAGGCTGTAAAAGAGGTTCTGCATGTGCGTGTGTGTGTGTGTGTGTGGGGGGGGGTTCTCCGAACTGTGGAAAATTTGACTCGTCAGGGGCATTGCCAGTCCAGCTCACCCCACGACTGGAAACAGCACCCATGCCAACCTGACTGGCTTTCTGTAGGGCATGGAACATGCTGGCATCTTAACATCTGTTGGAGCTTGAAAAGCACAGTCAGCATAACTTGGAGCCATTCAAATTAAATGGAACGAGCTAATCATGACAAGTATATGGAGTTGACCTAGTTTTGCCAGCTTGTCAAGTATCAGATGTATCTCTCCATCTTGTTTGTTTCAAGTCGTTAACATCATGCTGGCTTTTGTTCTCCAGAGATTCCGATGGTGCTGTATCTGTTTGCCCTAGTGTCACTGGTGTGTCTGTGGGCCGGTCTCCACATGGCCTACAGGTATCTCTGGATGCTCATTCTCCTCGTCATCTTCAACGTCTTTCTGGTAAGAATGTCCACCTTCATTATAATTCACGCCATACCCTAAACTCAGGAACTATATTGCACATTGATGTCCATTAGTCCTTTTGAAGTAGATGTTAATCCATTGACAATTGTGTCTATTGGGTTCTGTCTATTGTCAGTACTGCAATTATATGCAAAAGTTTGACCACCCGCAGTGAAATTGCATGTTTTGTTGATAAAGGTGAAATAAGTGAACACATCCTTTACAGGGAACAAACATAAACATGTCATTTTCTGTAAACATTAGTGCATAGTTTCTATTTACTTGTGGAGTTTATTGGAAAACACTAAAACCTAAAATATAAAATGTGCTGTAACATTTGCACAGGCCACATTTCATGTTTTTGTATTTTTCAGATATGCTAAATTCAGCAAATGAACAGTACTTGTGCATTAAAATGTGCAGAAATGTGTTCTCTGTAGAGGATTTATTAACCTACTCTTACTTTAGTTTGCACACGTTTTCCACATTGTGTGATAAGGATGTTTGTTCCCTTTTAAAGGAAAAGTTTGGCACATGTACAAATCACATGTACACAGACATAGTTCATCAGCCAAAACATTAGGGCTGCGTGATATAGACATAAAAAGTGTTCACTAAAATTTTGGAGGATAGTATGAGAAGCGATAAATTATAATTAAAATAGTGTATCTCTGGCTGGGTGTGGCATGAATACAGACTCTGGTATATTTTTGTATATATTTTGTATATTTATTGATGCACAAATCTACTACATTAAAATAAAACTACATTACCCATAAGCTCTTGTGTAAAGTGTATAATAAAAAACATAATGAAATACTAATGGATATCAAAATTTCAAAAATAGAGGCACATTTTTTACACTTTTTTTGTATGCACACTACAAAATAGTTACAAAACAGTCAGGCCTATATATATTTTTATTGCCTTAAAAAAGCAATAAAATATTCCTTAATTTTCTTAAAAAGCTGGTTATAGTGATGCAAGTTTGTTGTGACAGAAGCCATTACTGCCTCTTACATTGTACTCACAACTCTGGGAATGTGAACAGTCATCACATTTGAAGTATTATTACAGGTTTGTAGTTCAGAATATTTGTATATTTGGTAACTGGCTTTATAGCAGAGTGGATAAATCACTCGCTCTTCAGACAGGAGAGTAAAGATCGAGCCCACCACTTCTCTAATTTTAGACATGAATCTTACTGCTACATCCTCACCAATCTAATTACATCAATCTGGTGCTGTGTACCTGTTCTGTCATTGCAGCCCTCAGTGATGTGTTCATCATGGAGATTCATATTTTAATAACATCAAAAATGCAATAATTTTGGACTCTTTTTTTTCTCATACAGGATAATGGAAAAATAGTATAGATTTGATTTTTTGGCCAAACCTTTTGTTCATAACCCGATCACCTCATCCTTTGTTTTTTTCAAATATCAAATTGGGAAAAGTTTCCTCATATGTACAGACATATGCAAAATTTGAGCAGCACCAGTCAAATTATATTTTTTGTTGATTTTCTAAGTGAAAATAAATAAATACATTCTCTACTGCACAACGTAAGTATTGCATTTAACATATCAAAAAACTGAAACATGACATTTAACATATTGGAAAAAAAGCATAAAATATAAAATATGTCCCAACCTTTTGCACAAGTCACAATTTATGTTTTATTTTTCCCTTAAATTCAGCAAATAAATGTTAATTATGCATTAAAATGTACAGAAGTGTGCTCTCTGTAGCGGACTCATTTTCACTTAGACATTCAACAAAACATGTCATTTGACGACGGCCAGCCTTATGTATGCGGCTGTATGTATTTGATGATCTTGAATAAGTGGGGTAAAAATGCTTGTTCATGAGAAAGTCACATCTTAAAGTGAGCGATATTATCACCTTTATGTCTGAACTTTCAACCCTTTTATCTTGTCTGTGAATTCTCACCTGGTAATAAATTCATCCTCGTTGTCGAGCCCTGAGTGATAAAGAGGGTTGTCTCTCATTCTGCAAAGTGCGTACTCAGATTTGAGGACGTGTTAAGATAAAAGTGCTTAAGATAGATGGTTAGAAAAAAAGTCTGCAGAAAAGGATCTGAATGCTGATCACAGACCTCTTATGTATTCTAGTAAAGCGCTTTTTTCACAAATTGTTCTTGTCTGATTGCGGCTCTCTTACTGTGTCATTTTGCTAATGTGTCACTGCGGAAATGTGAACACAGTTAATGCTGGGCTAAGAAGCCAAATTAGAGCCTTGCATCTTATAGTCTTATCGATTTTCTTGTGTACTCTTACATAATATTGATCCCTTAAGCTACTGCGCACACACTTGAGCTTGCCCAGGGTGAGCTTTCCCATAATCCATTGATGTCTTCATAAAAAGAAGTCTGTTTAAATATTGACTTCAGGTGTCACTAGAATAGGATGATCCTTCCAGCAGTGATAAACTGAGAGATTGTGTCTTTCATGATTATTTCGCGTGTAGTTCATAGCTGGAGCTTGGCAAGAACATCAGAACATTTTACTGGAAATAGTTCCGTGTTTTCATTTTATTCAAATGTGTGCAAGTGTTTTCTGATTTTGTAGTGCAGTAGAAGCAGATGTCTTTCATCTGTTGGTGTAAACATGTTTTTGGATCTGGGAATGATTTGAATGCTGGATTGGAAAAAATGACATTGTTTGATTCATTTTGCCTCATTGCTTAAAAGCGTCACATTGATCTGACGTGACAGAACTATGTGAAGTGTGTCACACACCAGCTTGCTGACTTGTAGCATCTCCATGTGAAAAGAGTTTCTACAGCACTGCTGTGGCTTCTCAACTTCAACCCAAAATCTTAACCTAACCCTCACCCTGGTCCTAAACTTAACCCTGGTACTATTTGTAGTCCAAACCCAGTTTGTTAATACTTAAAACATCTATTGAGAATCTTTTGGGGTCTATCCGAATAAAGTAGAACCAAGGAAAGTTATTCTTTGGGCCAGATTAATCCTAAACCTAGACTAGAAAGCATTTCAAAAGATGGTTGAGCACTGTCATTGCAGTATATTCCAAGATGAAGCTTTATCCATAGTTAGCAACCTCACCTTCTATGTCCAGTTATGGTTAAACTGGACCCATATGTAGGTCATTAACCTTCATGTTGGATACAGTATACATTTTCGTTTTAGCTGTGCTTTTAAATACGGATATATTTATCATATTCCAGAGGAGCAGAATATTTAGGTGAGGCTGGGTTACTGTGCTAAAATATCTGCATTTTATTCATTTTACTGCATTTGTAGTCCTAGTGTAAATACGTTATCCACTTCAGGGAATAAATTTAAAAATACTTTTTTTGAAAATTTTATAGAAAAACTTCTATACATTTGCTTTACAATATAAAATATGCCAAGACTTCTGCACATGACACATTTTATGTTTATGTTTATTGTGCTTTAAAATGTGCAGAAGTGTATTCTCTATATCGGATGTGTTAACTTATTTTCACTTTAAACAACCAAACATGTAAAATGACCAGAGGTGCCTAAACTTTTGCATATAGCTGTATTGGCCTCAGGAATTGCATCAGCAGATACATACATGAAAGGTATTGGATATCGGCAATGGCCCAAAATTCCCACATCGGTGCATCCATACTTTTCAAAATAGTTTTCCCGTGTCCTTCAGTCTGCTATTAACAGGTGGAATTTTATTGCTACTAGAATTAAAGTTTTATCTTGATAGATATGTAATTATAACCATATAATTTAAGAGACTTCAGGGGAAATGCAGTTCCCTCATTTCTTATGCATTCTGTTTCCTGCATTATCTTCTCCAGCTCACATGTAATTTAGCTGGAATAGAACATCCTCCTCGAGGCATTCACAGGAAGCTGCTATTGATTGACTGCAAACAAAAACACCTGATGTACATACGGGTCGGAGAGTTTGATCTAGTGAAGGTTACTAATTGCGTCTGTGCCGGCAAACACGGTTATAAAAGACTGAGCCGAAAGGCATGAATAAACTGCACTAAGGAACAAGCAGCAGCGAGTGTTAATAGGTTTTATAGATGTCTGTTCATGGAGAACATTCCTAAAGGACCAAGAAAAGTGACCTGAATAAAAGGCATTCTTTCACGTTGTTCTTGATAGTGCAAACCTAACTTTCAGTTTGCACCGTACTGTAGTCTATTTACTCACCCCTATACAGATCCATCAGTAATGCAGCTTGCTCTGCTTATCAGATTTTAGGTCAAGTTAAGCACAACTCGTGGAGACCAAGCACTGGTTCAAAGGGTCAAGAATATTATGAAGGCCATTCTAGGGAACTGGTTCAGTGTTAGAGTTCAAAACACATCACAGACTTTTAACTGCATTGGGTTTTAGACTGCAATCCTTTTGCTTTGAGTGACCCTATACGTTAATTATTTGTATTTTATTATAACAAATGATTAAACATTCTATTTTTTCTCTACTGACACAATCATAACTCTACTGAACCTTTATCTAATGTTTCAGTAGTGACCTGTTTCAGTAGTGACAATTTTTGGCATATCTCAAAAACTAGCCAGTATGTGACGAACAAACACAACTTTGAACAGCTGTACGTACATAAAATCATAATATTTTTCATCAAAACAAAAAAAGTTTACTTAATTGCAGAAAATGTGTTTCGATAGTGACAATTCAAAATAACAAAATGTTACACACTGATCATCAGACTTTAGGACACATTTACTTCAAAACAATGAGAACTAACTGCTCACCATGTGGCCATGAGAGACAGGGATGCAGTCTCACTTCCTGCTTTAAAATGCAGGGGTGTGGCTAAAATAAGGCTCTGCCTATTGACTAAAACTCTTTGTGTTTCAGTAGTGACATGAAAACAGCATTTTTGAATAATAACTAAATGTTGAAACTTAGGGGTTTTGGTGTTGGGGCAACAATCTCCCAACATAAAGTACCTTATAAATAATGACACTGTATGTATATGTGGCTAATTACTATCTC